TCACCACGGGGCTGCCCTGCACCAGCTCCCCGGGTTTCCTCTCGCCACGAGGCTCCCCCAGCACCAGCCCCTTGATCTCGTCCCGTTCCCGGAGCAGCCAGGGCCCGCGCCCGGCTCCCTCTCGCCCGCCGTGCTTGCTGCCTGCCGGCCCCATCGGGCGGGCTCGCGAGCCGCGGGCTGGAGGAAGGGGCGGCAGCTCTCCCGCCAGGGATCCCCTGGAGCAGCGGTGACATCCGAGCTCGACTGCCTGAAAACGGGAGCTCGCCTCTCCTCCCTTATTAGTATTTGCCAGGCAGAAAAAATCTGAACCGAGGCGTCTAAAGAGCTCCTTCAGCTAGACAGGACAAAAGCAAGCCTGGGATGATTGATTTGGGGGACAAGTGGGATGTTGACATCGGCCTCTCCAAGCTGAAGAAAGAGGAGCGGTGGAGGAGCTGGGACCGCGTGAGCAGCATCGGCTCAGCGCCTCCCTGGCAAGTCGGGAGCTCGCGGGGCGCCCTGCGGCGCGGCGACGAGAGCCGCCGGCTTCTCCGGGGGTCCTCCCTTCCCTCCGGATAGCGAGCACGGCATGGAGGGGCCCCCGGGTGTGTGGCAGGGCTGGCCCTGTATGCCACGGGGCCTGGCGGAGGGCAGAGCTGTCTGGCAGGGGAGCAGGGCCTGCCACTGCAGCAGTGAGGGAGGAGGACCGGGCAGGGGGCAGGGGAGAGGGCAGAGGAGGTCCAGGGCGCAGGCCAGGGCGACGGGAGGAGGAGGGCGATTTCAGAGTAGATCTGGAGATGCCTGGCGAGCTCGAGGGGGGAGACACCAGAGGCCAGAGGCGGGAGGGAACCGCAGTAGCACAAGTCGCATCCTCCTAGCAGAGCTGGCCCTTCCCGCAGCGGGGGGACGGGCGAGTGCATGCGTCTTGCCCGGGTGCAGCTCGCTGGGAAGCGTGCGTGCGTGCATGCTCGGGCACGGAGGCTGCGCTCCCCGCTCAGCCCAGAACAGAGGAGGGGTGCAGAGAGATGGGGAGGGGGCAGGTATCAGGCCTGCCGCCCCCGCCCCGATCCACCAGCCCCGGGTTAAAACCAAGTCTTTCTTCCACCTGGAAAATGGCTCTGTGGGTTTGTGCGTGCGGGGCGCGCGCGTGTCCATCCCAGGAAGAGCGGATGGGTGGAGCACATTACGTCAAAAATGTTTCACCCGCTCGGACTATGTTTGGGAATCCACGAAACCTCCGGCCCTCTGAGCTTCGCCAGCCCCGGGCGGGCGGGCGGCGTCGGCGCTTCCGGCCTCTTGCGGCCCCTTCCCTTCCCTCGCTTGGCTCTGGGGACGCCGGCAGGACGGCAGGATCGGGCCCTGCCTCTTCGAGCCGTCTGCACCCACCCTCTGCTCCCCCCCGAGGCCAGGCCCGGTGCCCGTGTCCCTGGCACGTCGCGCTCCTTCCTTCCTCCTCCAGGCCTTGTTTTGGCTGTAGCAGCTTCGGCAGAGGTCCTGGGCCCTCCCTGGCAGTGCTGCTTGCTCTGAGGAGCGGGGGAAGGAGACGCGACCCGCTGCGAGCAGGCAGAAGTGCCCGAGCACGCCCTCGGCCCCGCGCTGCCCGGCCCTGGCCTGTCCTGTCCTCCTGGGCGTCCGGCTCTCGCAAGCGCGGCGTCCGGAGCAGCCGTCCCCTCGGGGTGGCGGCGGAGGCAACGAGCCATCTCGTGCTGCAGAGAAGCACCTGCTTCCTCGGCCCGCCACGCATTCCTGTGTCGGCTCCGGGCTCGCGGGGAGCCTCTGCCGCTGGTGAGGGAGCGGGACCGAGCCGAGCAGGCTTCTCAGGCAGAGGATTGAAACCCCAAGCCACCACACGCCCCTGGGCCTGGGGAAAGTGCCTTCTGCAGAGCCCTGTCCTGCATCTCGCCGTGGGGCTGGCCCGCTTGGCAGGGAGGTGCGGGCGCGCCGGGTCCCGTTTGCACGGGGCTTTCTTGAGATGCTCGTGCTAGCCCAGGCCAGCCGGGCCCCAGAAAACCCTGCACATGGGTCAAAACGCATGAGACACAATAACTCCACGGGGGCTCTTTTTGGGGGGGTTTATTTGCCTTCTGGCTGCACATCCTCCAGCTTTTTTCTCTGCAGTCACAAGGTAAAAACCTAATTTCCTTCCTTTCTGGTGGCGTGGGGGTGGCAGGGAGTGGGGAGCTGCAGGACCCCCCAGATCTCCTCGGTCTCCTGGAGGGCGGCCTGCCTCTTCCTCACGGCCTGGGAAAGGGGGGGATGGGCCCTGGACCCCCTGCTCCGAGGCTGGCTCGAGGCTGCCTATTGCCCCAGGCCCCCTGTCCCTGTGTCCAGCAAACATCCCTCGCTGCCCCCGCCCCAGCTGACCTGGCAGCACCCCGGGGAGGGGGGGATGTTGTTCCCAGAGACTTCAGGACCCGGGTCGTGGCTTTGCGTGCAGCCCAGCCCGACGACCGTCCTTTCCCTCTGCCCCTCACAGCTGTGCGTGCAGACCGGATGCGAGGAGGAAGAAACAAGTTCGGGCCCATGTACAAGCGAGACCGGGCCTTGAAGCAGCAGAAGAAGGCTCTGATCCGCGCCAACGGCTTTAAGCTGGAGACTGTGCCTCAGATTGTGTCCCCCGTGCAAAGTGACTACAACCTGTCCTCCACCATCCACAGCCTCCACGCTGCGGCCAAGACCCTGCCCCCCAACCCGGCCGCCCTCACACCCGTCGACTACGACCGGAGCCCCTACGGGACCCCGTCCCTGGGCGTGACTGTGCCGAGCCACGGGGCGCTGTCCGGCTACCACTACCCCTCCTTCCCCAACCGCACCATCAAGTCTGAGTACCCGGACCCCTACACAAATTCCCACGAGTCAGTGGCCGGCTACGTGTACCCCGATGCCTACCCCAACAGCTCCCCGCCCGACATCCCCGAGGTCATCCTCAAGCTGCTGCAGCTGGAGCCTGACGAGCCCCAGGTGAAGGCTCGGATACTAGCCTGCTTGCAGCAGGAGCAGGGCAAGGGCCGGCACGAGAAGCTCAGCACCTTCGGCCTCATGTGCAAGATGGCAGACCAGACCCTCTTCTCCATCGTGGAGTGGGCGCGGAGCTGCATCTTCTTCAAGGAGCTGGAGGTAGGTGGCTCGCTCGGTCCGGGGCTGCCGGGTGGCAAGGGGGGGTCCCATCCCCAGAGGGTGGATACAAGGGCAGGCAGGCATGCAGGGTGACTCCTGCCCGCCTAGAGCAGGACCCGCAGGGAACAGGACAGCCATGGGAGCGCGAGGGCTGTTCAGCGGCTGAACTTGGGACACAGTAGGCCGGGGTGGGGAGCTTCGGGCACGAGAGCCCCAGAGCTGCCCCAGTCCGATGGCTGCGCGCATCGCCGTTCCTTCAGCACAGCGCAGCCCAGCTCGTGTGCTGGCTCTGCTTTGGAGCTGTCATGAGTTTGGAGGG